AACCACTTAAATCCTACTTTCTGTATTTAATAAAATCACTTTTTACTTATTAATTAACTCAGAGTATGTATTAATACCTGGGGGAGCAAACAACTGTGCATATCTCTCTATCAGTGTTATAGAGAGCAAACAATTTATGAGTTTACCCTGCATAAGCTTTATGCAGGGTAAAACGGATTTATCTGGGAGTTGGGCATCTGAGTGCTAAAGACAAGCACACTTCTGTGAGCTGTTTTCAAGTAAACCTGCAGCTTTGGGGCACGTGGTTCAGATCCTGGGTCTGTGTTGGAGCAGACGGAAGTGTCTGGCTCAGCAAGACAGGGTGCTGGGGTCCTGAGCTGGCAGGGAAAACAGGGATAGAAGTAGTCTTGGCACATTGGGTGGCAGCTCCCAAGGGGGTTTCTGTGATCCAACCCATCACACCCTCCCAGCTCCGGGGCTGCGGCAGGGAGAGAGGACTCCGCCAGCCCAGGGGCTGGGGCGGAGAGAGGCATTTCTCCCATGGCTCCAGCCCCAGAGCTGCTGTGGCGGAGAGAGGCACCACTCCCCTGGCCCCAGTCCTGGATCTGCAGTGGCAGGGAGAAGACTGGGGGGAGTCCTTTCTCCCCACTTCAGCTCTGGGGCAGCCTGCACCCCAAACACCTCATCCCCAGCCCCAGTTGGAGCCCTCACCACCCTGCACCCCAACCCACTGCCCCAGCCCCGAGCCCCCTCCCACACCCTGAACCCCTCATCCCCCCCTCCATCCCAGAGCCCACTCCCCCAGTCAGAGCCCTCACCCCCTGCACCCCAGCCCTAAGCCCCCTCCCACACTCCGAACCCTTCGGCCCCACCCCTGCCACACATCGCCTCCATGTTGGTGCACATAACAAAATTCATTCCGCACATGGATGGGAAAAATTAGAGGGAACATTGTCCCACACCAGAGTGAAGTGAAGGCAGGGGCCTGCCACTTGAAAGTAATGTATTGAGGGGACTGGAAAAGGGTCTCAGAAGGAGTTTATGATTTATACAGGGTAAAACGGATTTATTTGGGTTTAGACCCAATTGGGAGTTGGGCATCTGAGTGTTAAAGATAAGAACACGTCTGTTAGCTGCTTTCAGGTAAGCCTACAGCTGTTAGGGGACGTGATTCAGACCTGGGTCTGGGTTTGCAGCAGGCTAGCAAGTCTGGCTCAAACCAGTCAGGGCACTGGAGTCCTAAGCTGACAGGGCAGGAAAGCAGGAGCAGAGGTAGTCTTGGCACATCAGGTGGCAGCTCCCAAGGGGGGTTCTGTGATCTAACCCGTCACAGCTACATCAATAGTTTCCCAGACAGGAAAAAGAATTCACTTGAAACAGCTAACCCTGCAGGGGTTGTATGTGCTCTTGTTAGGGCAGACACAGCCAGCAAGCACATCCTAAAGTTTCCTGGAGATTACATAAAAGCATGTCCTGGAGATTATGGTTTTGTTCACTTTTGCTGAGACTCTTAATCATTTCTAAAAGGAAGCTGTCGTCTATGCATCCACATCCCCAAACCAGAGAAACTTTTGAATTAATGGATCTGAGCAGAGACAAATGAATTTTCATATACAGTAAATCTTTCACTAGCCCTTTTCATCCCAGAGGCTATAAATGGTACATAAAAGGACCAGTTCACCCACCACTGAAGTGCAGACATCTCTGAGGTGGAATGCAGCAGCAGTTTAACGGTGCTAATATTGTGCAACATCCCAACACACTACAATGTCTCCAACTGAAATTACAGGGCGAAGGTAAAGAGAGAGAGAGAGCGAGAGAGAGTGTCACTCTCCTCCAGCGCTATCACAACTTGTGCAGAGAATTCTACTGGACTTGGGAGTGGAATGTTGCCCTCTGGATTCTAGAGCCAGAGCAAAGCCACACCAGATACAGGAGAACCTCGCAGTTAGGGACACCTCAGGTGTCCGTCTGTAACTCTGAAGAGGAAGTTAGGGACATCAGCGGGGGGGGGGGGGGGGGGGGGGGGCTGCAGCCCCAGGGGGGGTGGGGGTCGGGGGAGTCAGAGTGGGGGCGGGAGAGTCGGAAGCTTCTGACCCTGGGCGGAGCGCACAGGGCTTCTGCCCAGCAGAAGCGCCAGTGCTCAGGGCTTTAGACCGAGGGAGGTGCCGCCCCTAAAGCTCTGAGCCCCGCTGCTCCCGAGGGTCAGAAGCCCTGAGTCCCCCCAGCCCTGATTCCCCCACCCTGCGGCTGCGGCCTCAACCCCCTTGGCTGAAGCCCTGAGCCCCAGGCAGTACGGTATTTGCGGGGGTATTTTTTGTTGTTGTTGTTCTGCGCTGCTGCCTGCCTGATTTATTGAGGACTTCCGGTTCCAGAGGGTGTCCGGTTGACCGGTAAGTCCACCACTCTGATGTTCCTATCTTTGAGGTTCTGCTGTAATCAGAGAGCGTTAGAGCCCCTCCTCCCCTAGTGGACTGACTGCTACTGACATGCCCCAGCATGTAAAATAACCCCTCCAGCCCACACCTGCTGGATTAAGGAACCACCAGCCTGCACCAGCTCTGTTCCCCAGCACGCTGTGCTTAGGGTGACCGGATGTCCCGATTTTATAGGGACAGTTCTGATATCCAGGGTTTTGTCTTATATAGACACCAATTACCCCCCACCCCATCCCAGTTTTTCACATTTGCTATCTGGTCACCTTAGCTGTGCTCTCCAGCCCCTCTGGCACTGACCTGGGTAAAGGAGCGGTGCGGGTTGTGGAAATCGATCTGCAGCATGGTCCCAATGAATGGCAGAGAGGTCGGCCCTGGTGGGTAGCGACTCCAGCTCTTCCTGCGCTTCAGGAAATCAAATAGCAGAGCGAAGACTGTGAGGGCTATGCCCAGTGCTGGGAGGTTGTTCCCGCAGGATCGAAGCTGGGACCAGAGCCACAGGAGCAGCTCCATGATCTCTCTTCCCTTTGCCTCCCCCCACGTGTTTTTAACTCTCACCCCTGCCTCTTTTTCCTGCTCCTGTTCTCTCACTCTTTGCTATTTCTGTCTCCCTAGTTTCCTCCACCCGTTCTCTCTCTCTCTCTCTGTTTATTTCTCAGACACCCGCCCCTCTCTTGATAATGTCACAGCTTGGAGCTGCCTGGCCAGAATTTCTCTATAGTCCCTCCTCTGCCTAGATAATACAAACTCGCAGGGGAGTGGTAAGGAAGGGTGGCCCAGCCCTTGCAAAAGGGAAAGGGCATAACTCCATTTCCAGCATCTGTGGTATGTAACACAGTGGTTCTCAAACTTTTGTACTGGTGACCCCTTTCACATAGCAAGCCTCTGAGTGCGACCCCCCTTATAAATTAAAAACACTTTTAAAATATATTTAACACCATTATAAATGCTGGATGCAAAGCGGGGTTTGGGGTGCAGACTGACAACTCGCAACCCCCCATAATAACCTTGTGACCCCTTGAGGGGTCCCGACCCCCAGTTTGAGAACCCGTGATGGAACATGAGGGGAAAGGCACCTCCTGATGCCAACTGGCAGAGGTGCACAGAGTTTGACAGGAATCCCCCCTAAATAATGTATAATAATAATGATGTATAATAATTCACTAACAGGTGGCATGTGAAGATTGGTGTAATGTGCATTGTGGCATCTGATTCTTTGGTATCCTACCTTTGAACTGATGTTGTTTGATGTGGTTAGGATTAAAATCTCATGTCTGCTTACCAAATCTCATGTCTATACATGTCTCTGGCTTGGTTCTATCTCCGCCACCTTCCTGCTCTCTGTGTACAGCAATTTGGAGGCATTATATATGTGACACCGAGAATACATGTAAAGAGTAGGACCAATGAGCATATTTTTCTCCACATTTTCAAGCAAGAGAGTAAACCATAAATGTAGCAGTGATGGTAAGTAATGCCTGCGCAGAGATGTAGTTCACGTGAGGGATAGCTTCCTAGTGTGGTAGAATAAGATGTGAAATCATGCTGCCTGGGAAGCTATCCCCACGCGCTCTACATTCCTTGTGTAGACATTAACCCATAATGAAGTGGTTTATCCAGCAAGCAAGTGGTAATTAGGACAGACACTCACAAGACAGGATTTTCCTTCCAGCTAGATCCATGAGCATGCAATCCACTGGTGTCAAGCAGACAGGCTGCAGCCACATGTCTGGGGCACTTGTGTACTACATATGTGCCACGTTCAATTCAGTAACATCTTTTTCCCGCACCGGTTCTGGCCCATGGTG